GAGGTTGTGGGTCACGAACAACCGCAGCAGCAGGTGATTGCTAGGTTTTGCTACAGGCAAAAATGGACCCACGTCAGTCACATGCTGCAGTTGCAAAAACATTTATCAGGATTGTAAGGCATGTAATCCCAGTCCGGACAGTGGCGCAGTGACCGCCTAGGAGTGATCTCTCTCATCGATCAACAATACCTGTATTCATTTGAAATCCACGCCTCGGCTGGGACATTTGGTACGAGCCGAGACATTGGAGATGGACCACCGAATTGAAAAATCGCGTATTCTTCCCGGTCAAGAGCAAACTGAATGTGAGTAGTGATTCTGGACTTACCTGCATATGGGGAAAATAGGAACGTGTAATCTACCCAGGACCATCGTTTAACATGATTGTTTTGGTAGTGCCATGCGACATGATGTGGGGAGGCATAAAGTTGTCGGGGCGTACTGATCCCCAACTCATGATCGCGTTACACTTTCTGATCAACGTGATTGTGGTGTTGTACCCTTCTGTCATGTGCATCTTTCCAAGGGTTCCCTTGCCCTCAGCTTCAATCGTATGGAGGGCAGTGTGCGAGAGTATCGAGCAGCCTGGGTGGAAAACTCTTGAAAAGTGAGGATTTTCGGTAATTGGTGAAGCCATTTATTTCCTCCAGTCTAAAGCGTCGTATACTTTATTCCACTGAACCTTTAATAATAGTAAGTTCACAATCATAGAGAAACAGAGTACGCCGAAACTTCAGACTACAATTAAATCAAAGTTGCTGATCGATGTTTTTGGAACATTCTTTGGGAAAGTTATTGCTGTTTTGCTTCCGTGAATTTCTTACGTAGCTAGAGATGAAGATTGCGTCTACGTTTTTCTGGTGCTAGCACAGGCAACAGGCCCGAGTCTCCACCTGTGCTACAGGTGTTCGCAATAAGATCCTGGCACGGTAAATTATGCCCGTAAAAACGGTCGAATCGATCGATACATGATACAACTTCAACAGCATTTATCAACAGCTATATAGATCACAAAAACAAACTAGATCTCGAAATAGCCTCCTTTTGCTCGAATACAGGCTGAAAGTCTCCTAGGAAACGCGTCGACGGCGGCACACGGAGGTAGTCTTCCAAATCCTCCCATGCTTCATAGGTTCACTCGTGATGTGCTGAGCATCCAAACTTCTATGCTGAGTAGAGCAGGCTTTCGTCTTAAGAACTGACTGACACACACGGAGTAGTCCAATGGATTTAGGTCTGGACTGTTCGGGGGCCAATCGTTCGACGAGATGAAGTCTGGGAAGTGCGTTGCGCACCAGTCCTGTACCACCTTGGACCTGTGTGCTGGAGCTGAGTCCTGTTGATAAGTCCATGTCCGGTTGCCGAAATGGGATTTTGCCCAGGGGAGTACCTCCTTCTCCAACACGCCTTTTAAGTAGGTCTTGCTATCCACCTTGACCCCTTCTCCAAGAAAATCAGGGGATCTTGCCGTCCGATGTGATTGCCCCAAAAACCATCAACGACTTGGGGTGTCCAGATCGCTGAGCAATCCCTCCATGTTGGCTGGCTTCTGCAGGGCTTCCCGCTATCATCCTATCGTTTTGGGTGTTCAGGAATTGATCTGTTGAAAACAGACATTCGTCAGTGAAAAGGATGTTGCTGTGCCGTGCCTGCCGATAAATTGCTTTAAAAGCTCCTTATATCTTCTACCTAAGTCTTTTCTGGAATGATTTCACGATCTCCTTTGTCGTTGCACTCTTTCGGTCTTCCACTTCTAGGCTTGTCCTCCATAGTTCCTGTCGCCTTGTACCTGTTGACGTTGTTGTACACGGTTCTTAAGGGAATCTGGAGCTGCTTGGAGATGGTCTTTGCAGTGCATCCAGCCAGATGGAGGTGCAGGATGGAGGCTCGTTGGTCTTTGCTTGTCACCATTCTGTTAAATAGGCATATTTAAGAACGACCAATTCATGGAATGTATAGAAGAGAAGACTTGCTATAAAATCAGGGGCATCGAATCCTGTTGAGATCGGAACACGGGCTCATTTCTCTATGGCAAAGCCTTTACAACCGGATTGTCACTGATCTTTTCCCACCCCTTAACTTCACGGCGATATGCAGGATCATCACTGCAACACGAAACCGGACACCACACTCGAACAGGCCCGGACCCATCAGCTTGAGTCGATCTTCGAAGGCGTTACGGTCTGTTATTCACATCCAATAAGGATGAAGGAGTACCTAGAGCAAGTTCACCACGACCATGACATGCGCTGCACTGATTCGCCACCTGTCCGCACAACTTACCGTGTTTCAGTAATGAAATACAAAGATATCTCTGCGACAGTCATGCGAATCTGAGAAATTACAACTTCGAAGAGAGGGTTGTTGCTTGGCTAGTTAGGGATCCAGTCCGATGCATAGGAGGAAAGGCGTCTTTTTGAAAAGTAATTCGTTGAGAATGCTTCTGCAAAACTCTTATTTTAAACTCAAGTGTGACGCGCTCACTAGAACCTCTGGAGGGCAGATTACACAGTGAAGCTTTTCATATTCGCCGCGCTTTATACAGCTATTACCTACGCAGAGAGCACGCCGATGCTCAATCCCGGACACAGGGGCAAAAAGACAGTACGAGAAGCACATGAGCAGTCATACTAGAATGTCTCTAATAAGCGCGTCTTTTATCCATCAGAACTTGACGAGACCCCTTTTCGTTTGCAACAAGCAAGTTGCATGTCATAGCTAATACACCCTCTGTCAAACAACTCCGAGAGAGTCGCTGCGTGGCGCATACCAAGACGGAACGGATCTGCGCCAAGGAAATCATTTCCTCTTTTACCCATTGAGATGATTCAGTCTAGAACCAAATTGAGAGTTTTTGGAAGTTACTTTTTTCCGCGAGAAAGGAACAGAGTTTTAGCTAAAAGCTCGAACACTCCTCGACGCCATCTATCGCCAGATGTTCGCGCTATCTAGAAAGTGCAAACACAGCGCGACTGCGCACATAGAAGGCGTAACCCTCAGTTACAGCCTTTTTCTCGGTCCTGCACAGATCAGCAGAAGCGTGGAATGGATTAGCTTCACTAACGAGGGAGGTCTTTCAGGTGTACCCGCGCTTTCTCAAAACGGTTTTTTGCATGATGTAGAGGGATGTGCGTGGATTACAGAACTGTAGTCCATTTCCGCTAAATGGCTCTCTGAATGCCAAAAAAGGAGTGAAAAAAAATTTCGTCAGATAATGCAATTTTTACGCACTCACCGTGGTTTATTTCAATCATGGCGTGGACTGCTTGCATAACGAAGGGTTCTTGCAAGCTCTGTATCGGAAAAATCCTAAGTTTGGCCAAAATTGGAAAGTTACCGTAGTGATGTCATGTTATGTACTGAAGAGCGTGAAGAAGTTTCATGGGTGCATTCGGCAACTCAGCAGCCGGCAGCGTCGGTGGTTTAGTGGATAGCGATATGGATTTCAATTGGCACACGATTGGGGTTGCTGGTTCGGATCCTCGAGATGCTCGAATTTTTGCGTTTCTTGTGGCACCTCCAGATCTCGATCTCGAGGCTCCAAGTTGCATAAATGCCATAATAGAAGCAATATTCATGAGTTAAAACCATAAGTGTCCACAGGAGGACAGGTTTCCACTGAAAATTGTTGAGAAGAAAATTTGGCCTCACATTGGCACTATTGTGCCCGCATCACAAAAGAATGTCGTACTTGTGATCAGCCCACTGCACAACCCTTGCAGTACAGGCCAAAGTCCTTTTTTCGAAATTTTTTGAATGTGTTCACGTTCCCATTTATTTCAACAAATTATCAACAGACATGGTACAGCTCTATAAAACAAGTGAAAGCCTGTTGCACCAACTGCATCTGACGAATGCCAAAGAAGAGCAGTCACTGATTCCCTGGCATGCGGCAACTACTTCGCCTTCGTTGAAACCATAATCGGTGGGCGTTGTAAATGGTCCTGGGTGGTAAACGGTTATACTCACACTCGTACGTGCTTGTGCGAGTATACCTTTGTGATGTACCGGAACGTACGACCACATCTGAAGAAGAAGCAGTGGTGTGTTCCATTTTCAATATCGACATGGCTTTCTCACCTGCTAGAGTTATTGCTCGTCTTCTGTCGACGTTTGAGCCCGATTTTTCTCCCCCAACAAGGAGAGAAATCGCAATTGCTGACGCGTTTAAAGGGATTCTCTTGGGAGCAGTAAGCGGTGACGTCGACTACGAAGAAGAAGAATCGCTTCAGGTTAGCTTCTGTCGGCATATGGGAGCTGTTGTGTAAAGAAATGTTCTCTGGTTTCCCGATTCGCTGCGCTTTACAGGCATTCTTCGACGAAAAAGAGGAGGTTGACTGGAGTCTAGAAGACGATGTTGACGATTGTTCTAGCAGTGATGTACTCCCATCACAGAAGAGCGTTATGTTCGACGGAAGACCCATTCCTGAAAACATTGTTAGTTGGAACACCGTGTAGCGTGGGCTAGAGGCATGAGCTCTATGTTTTCACAGGTCAAGCGCGCCGTTACCCATTACCGTGATACGGACAAGGGATCACGTTCTTTAGCGTCCATGACGAACAGGTTCAAGTGGATCAAAAATAAACGGCACATTAATTTGCTCCGCGTAATCGAAAAAAAAGGTAAGGTTCAAAGCTAAATGCTGAAAAGTAATCAAACGAAGATAGACACTTTGAAATTTTCCTAATTGATCCAGGAATGGTCGAAGAAACAAGAGCGCTAAATTTTAAACGGCTTTCTGCAGTTCTTCGAGACCGAGTACTGGAGGCCGCTGAACAAGGTATGTACAGATGTTCAATGTGAGGATGTGATAGATGGTAAAGTGCACCATTTCAACATAGGCTTTCTAGGACTGCCCTTGTCGTACGCCATTGTGCGGCACATGGCTGTTCGCATAAACCGCGAACAGGGGCTCATCGAAAACTTTAGGGCATCCAAGTCGTGGATAGCGAAATTTGTCCGGGAGTGCGGTCTGCGGTCTAGAAGAGTGACGCGCTTTGTGACAACGAAAAGCCTCCGTTCTAGACAAGAAGTGGAGCAGGAGGCAAATGACTTTGTTAGGCGTGTAAGAGAGGAGATGAAGAAGTACCCCCTCTCTGTATTCGCAAACGCAGACCAGACGGGAATAAACAAAGAAGTGGCGTCGGGAAGGTAAGTTGCTTTAAGCAAAACTCGGGCGCCAATGACTTCTTTGTTGCAGAACCCTAGCTCCTGTCGGGTCCAAGCAAGTTATGAGGGTGGTGCAGTCCACCTCATCATTAACTCACTCTTTACCGCCATGCCGGTCATATATGCTGATGGACGCCTCGGAGAAAAGCTGCTTGTCATTCTCCCCGAAAGGGGAGGAGTCTTTCCGCAGTCAGGACATTGGCAGGCACCAAACCTGCTGGTGTTGGCTGGAAAGACTCACATCATGACGAAGTCGCAGGTCCCAGCTTTCGTCAAGGAGTGTGTGGTTGGGTCGTCGTCCCCTCCACTTACAATACTTCTTGTCGATAGCTGGGGTGGATTCACTGACCACACCAATGTGCTGTCAGAGGTGCCCGAAGGGAAAGAGCTCCGTTGATGACCATCCCAGCAGGAGCAACTGCCCTCTGTCAGCCATTGGATGTATATTTCTTCCGATTATTCAAACGCTACATCAGGCGTATACACGACCATGTGATCATCACCACCCCGATTTCGCCTTCACTAGGGACAACATTCTGAAGGTAAGAACTTAATTATTAGTAATGTTGACGGGATTTCCTTATACTAATGCCTGTGCAGGTCGTCAGCCAGACATATCGGCAATTCTGCGCGCCAGTTTTCCGTCCGTGCCTAGCATACGCGTGGGTAGCTGCTGGGTATGTTGACGAACACCCAGGACCATTTTCAACGCCCACCGATTATGGTTTCAACGAAGGCGAAGTAGTTGTTTTATGCCAAGGAATCAGTAGCTGCTCTTCTTTGGCATTCGTCAGATGCAGTTGGTGCAACAGGCACCTATGCTTTCACTTGTTTTGTAGAGCTGTACCATGTCTGTTGATAATTTGTTGCAATAAATGGAAAAATGAACACATTCAAAAAATTTCGAAAAAAGGACTTTGGCCTGTACTGCAAGGGTTGTGCAGTGGGCTGATCACAAGTACGACATTCTTTTGTGATGTGGGCACAATAGTGCCAATGTGAGGCCACAATTTCTTCTCAACAATTTTCAGTGGAAACCTGTCCTCCTGTGGACACTTATGGTTTTAACTCATGAATATTGCTTCTATTATGGCATTTATGCAACTTGGAGCCTCGAGATCGAGATCTGGAGGTGCCAAC